GGATTGAATTTGATTGAGTTGGATTTAATTGGATTGCAATGGATTGAATTGGATTGAATTGGATTGAAAATAATTGAAATGGTTTGAAATGGATTGAATTGGATTGACTTGGATTGACTTGAATTGACTTGGATTGACTTGGATTGACTTGGATTGACTTGGATTGAATTGGATTGGATTGACTTGGATTGACTTGGATTGAATTGGATTGAATTGGATTGACTTGGATTGGATTGAAATGGATTGGATTGGATTGAATTGGTTTGACGTGGATTGAATTGTATTGACTTGGATTCACTTGGATTGACTTGGTTTGAACAGGATTGAATTGGATTGAATTGGATTGAAATGGATTGAATTGGATTGAATGGGATTGAATGGGATTGAATCTGATTGAATTGGATTTGATTGAATTGGATTGGATTGTATTGAATTGGGTTGACTTGGATTGACTTGAATTGAATTGGATTGAATCGGATTGAATTTAATCGGATTGGATTGGATTGGATTGTTGACCTAGTTTATTTGGCGTGACTTGGATCCACTTTTCTGTCTGACCATACAAATTTCGTTACGCGCTTTTCACGTAGTAGCGGAGGAAGGAGGTATTTTTCGGGCGACAAACAGGCAATTTGAATTTGGCTCATAGGCGTCATTTGTGCTTGAGGACCTTTTACATCTGCTAACATGGGACAGCGGGATTTATTTCCCCTCCGCAAGAAGGCGTACGAAGGGTTTTTTTGCCCTGAAATATCCACGCCTTTCATAGAGGTTGAATTTGAGTATAACAGTCTGATACGCTAACCGTTACACCATCGCCGCCGCTATTAATAACAAAACTCAGAAATATATATACAGTCGACTCCGGTTATAAAATTGAATTGAACTAATGCCTTATTTTACATGGCGAGACTCATGCCCGTTCTTCCGTCTGACCACGAAAATTTCTCTACGCGCCTATCACCGACTAGCGGAGAAAGGAGGTATTTCTTGGTCGACGAACAGGCGATTTGAATTTAGCTCAGATTCTTGACTCTCTTTAACGCATTAAATTTTTTTACATCTACTAACATGGGACAGCCGGATTTACTTCCTTGTCGAAGGAAGGCGTACAAAGGATTTCTTCGCCCTTAAAAATCCACTGCTTGAATCGGGTTTGAATTTGGGTATAACAGTCAGATACGGTAACCGTTACACCATCGCTATTAATAACAAAACTCACAAATATACACTCGACTCCGGTTATAGCGAACGTTTGGAGACTAACGTGTTTGGATTACTATATCAGGGGTTTACTGTATCCGATGATGTCAAAGTTAAATATAATTTCTCCATAACTATTGGTGTTATTGACACAGAGATACAGCAAAACTATTTAACAGCACGAACTGAGAATTTTAATATATTTATTTGTCCTTAAAGAATCACTCATTTTCAATTGTTTGCTTCGTACATTTTTCACTAAAAATTTCTCTACATCCTTCTCCACAGTGTGCTCTCTCCATACTTGATTCTGCATTGCCCTGCCTCTTACACTAAGTATCGCAATGCAGTTCTGAGTCCCTTCAATGCGTCGTGCAATGTTAAACTACCGTCCTGCTCTCCGAAGGCCCTTTTACTGTCCTTATAAAAATGAGATCCATTACTTATTTCCTACTTTCAGTATAGCCAAGGTTTAGGTTCACTATAACCGAATCTTCTTATGTTTATTTATAATGTTAGTGAAACGGGACCAGTGACTTAAGTTCACTATAACTGAGGGTTCACATTATCAGAGTTCACTACAACCGAAGTCGGCTGTATTAACTCAGCAAAATCAGTAATTGTAGTTTTTAACATCAAAAAGCGTATACAAACACAATAAAAATGCGTTTGAAGTTTGAAAACCGAGCCAGTGGCTTTTTCTTATTATAAGCACTTTCAGGTTTATTAGCATTAAGTTTATATGAAGCCAACAAAATTAATATAGGATGTGAACTGATCTTTGTAAAATCTGAAAATGTTTTTTAATAAAAAGGAAATAAATACCTTTTTCAGGTTTTACAAAGTTCGGATCACAATCTACATTTGTATTGTTGGCTTAATATAAACTTAATGTTAATAAATAGTAAAAATAACGTTTTTGCGGGAGGAATTCTTTATGGTGAGACATGCGGGGAGTTACATTTCGGAAGACTTTGTAAGGAAGGCACAGAAGGGAAATTTATTTGTAATACCGGTGTCATGAGTGGAATTTCTTACAAACGGGGGGTACATATTCTGCCGATTGAAGATAAGCAATGGTAAAACTGTGTGGAGAGATAGTTTATGTTGTTTTCTATAGTTTCGAGCTGGAATTCTGCAACTGTTGGTTGAAAATAAACCATGGTGAATTTGTTATTGTACAGAGAAACGTGTTTTAAACGATCTTTAGTTTTTTGGGTTCCATTATACGGCTTTTATACAAACAGGACAAGCATATAATAAGAGTGATCTAATTACGGCTTTATATGTAGTTAGACGTTTTATATGGAAGTTTTAAAGGATTTATTATTGAACTTAGTTGCAATTATGCATTGGCCAGTAATATTTCTTTATGTTTATGTTATTTCTAGTTTAATTGTATATACACTAATCCTTGATACTTGATGAGCTTGTTACGCGGGTGCCAATTACTTTCCTGATTCAATGTAAATAGACCGGGGAGTTACACGGTCTAATGGGAATATTTTTACAATTTTGCATCTGTATAGAAGGTCCAGCTGTATAGAAGATTAAGATAATTGATGTTGGCGGCTATGGTCAGCGCTGACGCCTAAATTGTTCAGCCGATTTTCTCGAAAAAATATATTTCCCGATCGACCTGAATGAACTCAAACTTTGGGAGTTTGAAACGGGTATTTTTACTTTTGAGAGTACGCCTCCAAAACATTTTCAAAATTCTTTTGAAAATTACTTCAAAATGTTTTACTAAACTTTGTCCTTGGATAACGTGAATTACGCTTAAGAGATTGATGCAAGTCTCATGTTCATTGAAATCCTATATTTTTCGAAAATTGCAGAACACAATTTAATTTGTGAATGTCTTCCTACAACTACAATATTGAAGATAGAGTTTTTCCTTAACACAGCTTGTTACTTAAACACAAATCTTGAAATAAGGCCATGTAAAATATTTAGAAAATATGAGTAGTTTTCTCGTACCTTTGCGCGAACTATAAGCGATTTTAAATAATTATACTTGTAAGTTGTAAGTTAAGTTAAATTAAATAAGTACTAAATTTTTTCTTTATTTTGTTCTTCGTATGTATTGAGGGATGGTAAAACACATGGTGCTAGTGCAGTCCACAATCTCTCTATTTTTAAAAAGTTTACATTTCAAGACCACAAAATTGAAGATGAGGATATTTTCCTTAGACAATCTGTTCCCAAATTTCAACTCTTAATAAAATATCATGATTTTTTTAAAAACGAGTAGTTTTCTCCTAAATTGCGATTAAAATTATTGCAATTTATAAAAAAATATACGTCCGCGATCGCAAAAATCATCTCGTGAGATATAGCCATCATTCTACACTCGTTGAAGTATACGCGTGGCAAAGCGTAAATGAACAACTCACATGGCGCTGAAGGCCTCGAACTCAAACGTCAATTTGAAAGTCGTATAGAAAGTGGTCGTCTACTCACATAGAATGGCTACTATTCACACGTAGAAATTGCTACCTTGCTCCTACGCCGCTCGTATCCGATCCGCGTATCCGTCCGCCATCGTAAAGATCGACTCGTGAGAAATAGCTATCATTCCACACTCGTTGAATGCACAACTCACGTGGCACTGGAGGCCTTGACCTCAATCATCAATTTGAAATCCGTAAGAAAAGTACTGTTCTACTCGCATAGAATGACTACTATTCACTCGTAGAAATTTCCACACTCGCTCGTGTGGTAAAGATCAACTCGTGAGAAATAGCCAATGTCCTACACTCGTTGAAGAATACGCTTTTAATAGTCCAATCGGTGCCAAGCGTGAATCGCTCGTGTCGTAAAGATCAACTCGTGAGGAATATCCATCATTGTACACTCGTTGAACGCAGGACTCACGTGGCGCTGGAGGCCTCGAGCTTAAACATCAATTTGAAAGTCGTATGGAAAGTAGTGTTCTACTCGCATAGAATGCCTAGTATTCACTCGTAGAAATTTCTACTCTCGCTCGAGTCGTAAAGATCGACTCGTGAGGAATATCCACCATTGTACACTCGTTGAAGAATACGCGTAAATGCAGGACTCACGTGGCGCTGGAGGCCTCGAGCTCGGCGCGGGGCAGCAGCTGGCGCGCGTCGAAGCCTGCGCCCTCCAGCGCGCGCTCCAGCGCCTCGTAGTAGGTGGCGCGCAGCTCGTGCGCGTGGGCGTCGCGGAAGGCGCGCCGCGTGCACATCTGCAGCAGCATCTCCACGTCCAGCGCCGGCGGCGCGTAGCGCGTCAGCTGGAAGTCCACCAGGCGCGCCTCCGCCACCTGGCCCCACGACGAGTACCTGCGCCCACACACACACACAGCAGGTTAGTTTCCAATCGCCTCCAGCCGCGCCTCCGCCACCAGCCCTTGTACAGGCGTGCAAAGCACGCCTTACACGACCGACAGTCGCACAATACATTTATTTTCTACTGATACGTTATTAAGGATTTGCTATTACCGATTTACGTTATTACCGATATACGTTATTACTGATATACGTTATTACCGATATACGCTATTGCCGATATATGCTCTTACCGATATACGCTATTACGATACATTATTTACTGCCACGTATTAATGGAACGTTATTAATGATACGTTATTACTGATATATTACGTGTATATGTAATGATACGCTTTTACTGGTAAGTTACAGGATCCTAGTTTGATCGATGATACATGTTGTCTTAGCGGTAATTATGGGAGGGAATTATGAAAAGACAAACCGAGCCCTGTTAACATTCAAATAAAAAATATTAAATCTGACTCATTAAAAATAGATAAAAATGAAATCTAGCATATATCACGGGTGTTAACCGGTTGTAATACGCGTTAACTGGTTGTAAAAAGGCGATAATTAAGGTCCAAGACAGAGTTCAACACAAAAACATTCCAAAGAAAAAATGCTGCAGGAAATAAAATACTTTTATAAAATTCAACTATTCTCATATTTCCTGTATCTGGCTTAAGAAACATTATCTCGTCATGGGATAGTGAATAATGTAAAAAACATTAAATATTTCAGATATTGTGTAGCATAATTCTCCAAGTATTTTAGAAAGAATTAACAAATACACAAATACATCATCGTAAGATTTTATACATTTTTGCAGTGTTCCTGACTTCGGTATGAATTGGAAACAACTTCACAGGTCCACAAGTAATAAGACAGCCAAAATTCAAGCGGCACAAATTTGTTTCCTATAAAAAGATATTGGTTACACATACTACGTACATAACTTCCTCACGTTCGCAATGAAAGCATTAATATGGAACAAGGAAAGAAAAACGATGCATTGGAGAATGCAGAAATATATTACGAAATTGTTTTCTAATATTCAGAGAATGAACAATACTATAGCGTGCCAGGAAAGAACCTACAAAGTGACACCTTGCTGGTGAGAGTGCTTGGAACAGAAATTATGTGGGTAGCAGGAGCTGCAGCTTGTAACAAAAGAAAACGTAAGTTGCCTAATCACCACAATCATAACAATCATAATAGGAGCTGGAAATGTTGTATCCTTTACTTGTTTCCTAGTGATATTGTTGATTCATAAATGCAAATTTTAAAAGAAGGCTCGGATTCCGCTCGGTGCGAAGACATTCCTAGCGCACTGTAGAATTCCATTCCCTTGCCCCCAACACCAAGCAAATTGAAGACAAAGCCGGTCGAGGCCGAAGAAGTGATTGATCGAAAAGCTTGTAAAAGCCTTCCTATGAATGAAGAAGAATGAAGAATATGAAATGGTAAGTACTAAATTCGCGAAGAAAGATTCTAGATTGTTTTATCTCAGACTCCATCAAGATATTGATTACTTTCTGAGATTGTCATAGATCGGAGGAGGAAATTATTGTCATAAGAGTAAATGAGAAACGATTAACTAAAGCAGAAACGTCAAATGTATAAAAACGCATTTGTTTTCCTACAAGAAAGAAATTGTATCGCTCCGAAGAGTGTTACCTGAACATGATGTTGTTGATCCAGACGTCGCCGTGGCAGAGCACGTTCCGGAACTTGTCCGAGGGCTTGACGAGCTTCTGCGCGATTCGCGGCAGGTGGTCGGCGCGCTGCATGATGTCCGTGTACCTGGGCGAGTCTTTGTACTTGGGCATGAGCGCCACGAGCGTCTTGATGGGTCGGACGGCGGAGGCGATGTAGTTGGAGAGGATGTTGGGGAAGGCGTCGGTGAACATGACCTCCTCGAGGGCGTCGGGGAAGCGCTCGCCCAGGCGCCAGGGCGAGAGGCGGCGCGCGCGCCGGTCGCCCTCCTCCGCCGCCAGCGACGTCGCGTGCAGCCGCGCCAGGGCCTCCAGCGCCGCCGCGCAGTGCGCGAAGTCCAGCGTGTTGCGCAGCCCCAGCGTCCGGAAGCCCTGCCCACACGCGCACACACACTCACTCACAGGCGCCCCCGTGGCACGCGTACAATTGGCTTAGGGATATTACGTTCTCGCTACGCAGTAGAACTGCGCGAAAAACGACGAGTTTTCGGCAGAAAAACTCTTATTACAACGCCCTTGTAAGGAAAAACACGCCCACATGCACATACATACACTCACAGGCGTATTAGGGTATTCAGGCGTTCCCGTGGCACGCGTACAATTGACTTAGGGTTATTACGTTCTCGCTACGGAGTAGTGAGAACGTTATGTAGTGCTGCGCGAAAAACAGCGAATTTTCGGCAGAAAAACTCTTTTTACAGCGCCCTGATTTCGAAAAAGTGGATAAAGTTAGAAAGGAAAATCCTGTATCACACGGTGTAATCAGAATCCGTGTGTTGTGCGTTCTTCATACCGAAAAATCAAATAACGGCATAATAAGTCTGTCTGTCTATGAACCGTCTCTGGGCTAAACCGTTCAGCCGATTTTCTCCAAAATTGATATTCCCCACTCAATCTGACTGGTGTTACCACCCCTTGAATTGAAAACCGATATTTTAATTTTTGGGGGACTTTAATGAAGCCCTGGGACTTTTTACAATTTAAAAAAAGACTCTATCGTTTTTGATTAAATTTTGTTGTAGGATAGTGTAAAGGAAGTTCGAGACATTAGTGCAACTCTCTTGTTCGTTAAAAACCCTGATATTTTGAAAATTGCAAAAGTTAAAAATTGTTTTGGCATCTTCCTACAACTAAAGTATTGGATAAAGACATTTTTTCTTGATAAAATGTGTTCCTTATAGATAGATTTTGGAATAAGGTCAGTTACATTTTTTCGAAAATCTGAGTATTTTCGCGTTATATTACATGAAAATACGGGCGAGGTATACACTAAAGAGCGCTCCCTTTTTGAGTGGTGCCCATGGCACTTGCCACGTTTGCCATATATACCTCTTCACACACTCATTGCATGTTACCTACAGAAACTCGCAGCATTCGCTACTTTTGCATACTACCTTATTTAGTATCACTTTCACCAAGAGTCGAGTAAAGTTAAGAGTAGTTACTTGAGAGTAAGCATTACTCTTCAATAGTTACTCTCGAGGAAAATATAAACCTTTCACCACGCTTCTGGAAAGTTATTTTACTCAAGAGTACATACTCCAGAGTTTAACTATTTATAGCTTAAATGTTGGGAAGAGATTCTGAAACTCAAGACAACATCCGCAGATGATCTCCCTCATACGTCAGATATAGTTTTGTTTTGTTTTTTACTAAATAAATAAGTACATTTTGCCCTAGAAGATATTATTTTATCTTTTGTTATCGTAAATTGGCTACCTTTATTTCGTATCACATCGGTGAAAAAAATTTACAAAGCCTTCCACAGTTTAAAATATACATTGTTTAAATGTTTTAATAGACATATCCAGTTTTAAGCTAGACTCTGAACTGATTGTATATAATCTTAAGATACCTACAATTCGGAAAAAGGTAGTTTCTGAATTTATGTTACAACTTGTATTTATATTTTATATTTATTTTTTAGTTTCGTAATTAGTATGCAAATTATTATTTTCTAAATCAGCTTCAATTCTTCTAAATATAAGAGCTGATGATTTGGTCAAACATAAATTCGAGACAAAATATCGATCGTCATAATTGGGAAACCAATTCATTCTCTCCCGCACCCACCTTAGCACTAGAAAACAATATTCCGAATCATCACTGGAATCATTTTAAAGTACTATCATTCGCAATCGTTGAGACATAACAACACGTCGGAGATACATCCACGTTGAAAAATGAACTTACTTCGTTAATTACTCGACGGATTTTCGCCGTATAAGTTTACTCTCAAATTTACTCTCGTGTAAGCGATTTACACTCGAGTAAAGAGTTGGTGAAACGCTCCAAGACGTTATTCACTAGTAAACATGATTTACTCCTCAGTAAACTCTTACTCTTTCTCTAAACTATTAGTCATTGAATCCGACCCTTATAGAGTAAACTCAGTAGTAGTGGCATTAGATAAGATAATTTCCGCAGTTCTCTTAAAAATCTTGACTTGCAGTAATAAATTCGTTATTAAAATTCAATGGACAATTAATGTACCTCTTTCTATATAGATATTACTATAAATCAAGAGAAAGATAAAATTGAAATATTTTTTTCGAAAACGAGGAAATTACGATTAAGGTGAAGCTGGAAAAATTTCTGTTATTGAACTTGTATGATCACCTAGATGCCAATGATATTATTTTAGAACTCCTAGTTTCAATTCAAAATTTTGAAATTCTGATCCATTTTAACCCACGGATTGAAGGAAGAACTATTTATAAGGAGCATTCAAAACGAAACTATCCGGAGGCCTTGGAACAAAAACCACCTTGTCATGTCAGAAGTATTGGCCCAGGCTGTTAATGCACTTATTCCAGTGCGACACAAGTCGGTGAATGGATGTCTCGTAAAATTTCCGGAGGCTGCGTTGTAAACCAATTCCACACGTACTGCTTGACGACATTCAGGTAAATAAGAGCCTTTTTAGGGGACCTTAATGGGGTAATAGCAGGGAGAGAGGTGAGATAAGGGTGACCAAGTACCTCCCACTTAAAATTTCTGCAAGAAACAATCAGGCAAGCTCACCCGTCTGCTCTGTGATAATGCAAGACCTCATACGGTCAACACAATCACGGCATACTTGCAGAATTTCAAGTGGGAGGTACTCGGTCGCTATCCATATTGCTCAGAACTCTCTCCCTGCAATTTGGTCCCTTAAAGAGGCTCTGAGGAGCAAACGATTCTCTTCGGACAATTACGTCAAAGAGAACTGTGAGTTTGTGATCCTCCGCTAACTGCACAGGGGATGTCGGTTAACGAATACCACGCCCAATCCCGCCCAAAAGTCGCTGGTGAACCACCTACTCACTGCCTCGACCTTGAAGCTAACGACGTGAGTGCCGCCGGAACCTAGGCAACCAGACAGGGGTACTCATGATCATCAGACGTTTTTATATGTGGGGTTGAGATCCGCTCTGAGGTGCTTAGAGGATGTCAGCTAACCAAGCTCAGGCCACCATCGCCTACAGTTAGGTGGCATGCCACCAACTCACGGCCTCCACCTTGAAGCTAACGACATGAGTGCCACCGGCACCTACGCTAAATGACAGTGGGACTCATTCTCATCAGACTTTTTTATATGTGGGTTTGAGAACCACTTGCGAGCTGCTTAGAGAGCCAGCTAACAAGCCTCACGCACACTTGCTGCACATTCGGAGGCAAGCTCTCCTACTCACTGCTCCACCTTGAAGCTAACCAGACATGCGTGCGCGAGAGGCTTGGGCCGCGGGTGGAGCGCACTGCAAGTGCTAAGGAGGTGGGCAGGAAACCGCGAGCCGGAGCGACTGCTTAGCATGCGCGCCCGAGGTCCCGAAGACGATCGCGCGCGGGTTGTGGCGAGCACGCAAGCGCGCCGCCAGGGCGCCGGCCGCGTGTTGGCGGCGACGCGGCAGCAGGCGCTTCGAGGGCAGCGCGAAGGGAAGGCCACCCTTGTGGGAAGGCGCGGCGTGCCCACGGCAGCGCTCGCGGCACGCGGTTGCCGCGTCGCACCGCCTTGAGGAAGAGCGCGGGCTCGCGCTGCTCGCCGCGACGCGCCTCCACCCGCGCGCCGCGCACGAGACGTCCGTTCCCTGCGCAACCGGAGGAACATCGCTGCACCTTGCACAGCCGCTTCCCTGCGCGGATCAGACAGAACGGAGCGACAGCTTCTACACCCGCTTCCCCTGCGTCGCGATCGACAGAACGGAGCACTCTTCTACACCCGCTTCCCTGCGCGCGAATCAGATTACAGAACTGGAGCACACTTCTACACCGCTTCCTGCGCGCGGATCGGACAGACTGGAGCGACACTTCTACACACCTCCTGCGCACCCCTCCACGATCAAGACTTCCCGCTCCGACCCAAATGGTGCCCACTTCCACACCCGCTTTCCCTGCGCACCATCAGACCAAACGCTGCTCAGACACTGCCCCTGCGCACGTGCAGGCCTGCTGCTCAGGCCAAACGCTGCACACGTCTACACCCGTGTTCTCTGCACACGATCAGACCTTCCGCTCAGACCAAATGGTGCACGCTTCTACATCCGCCTCCCCTGCTCACCATCAGACCAAACGCTGCCCGGACATTGCCAGTCCTGCCACAAGTACAGACCTGCCGCTCAGGCCAAACGCTGCACTCTTGCACATCCGCTTCCCCAGCGTACGATCAGACCTTCCGCTCAGACAAAATGTCGTACTCTTCTCCACCCCCTTCCCCTGTGCACCACCAGACCAAATGGAGGACACTTCTACATCCGCTTCTCTTGCGCACGATCGGACCTTCCGCTCGTACCAAATACTGTAAGTTTCTACACCCGCTTCCCCTGCGCAAGATCAGACCAATTGGAGCACACTTCTACACCCGCGTCATCTGCTCACGATCAGACCTTCCATTTCGATCAAATGGAGCACACTTGCACAAGCGCTTCCCCCCGCACAATAAGACCTTCCACTCAGACTAAAGATATCATATACAACCACGTTTTCTGCTCACGATTAGGCCTTACATTCAGGCCAAATGCTGCAAACGTTTTCAACCACGTCCTGTGCACACGATCAGACATTTCCATCATACCAAATGTAGCACAGTTCTCTTGAACACATTCAGACTTTCCACTAAGACACAATGATGCAAATATCCTCAGCTACTTCCCCTGCGCAGTCCATTCTTTCCACTGAGACTATTACTAACGTCTACACCCGATTCTCCTACACACGTTCAGACCTTCCACTCATACCAAATGCTGCAAACTTCCTCTGCACACATTAAAACCTTCCACTCAGACCAAATGTAGCCCCCGCTTCCCCACGGCATATTCTGACTCTTTCACTCTCACAAAATGTTGCAAAATTCTAAAACCATATTCCTTGCGCACATTCACACATTCCACTAGGACTAAATGTTGGAAACTTCTATAACCACTTGCCCGCAATTTGAGTCACTCTACTTAGTCTGTCAGTTGCACACTTCAAGGTCTACCCCTCATTTAGACATAGCACACTAAATATTGCAAACATTTACAGCCGTGTCCCCTTCACACACTCCGATATTCGCCACTACATGTTGAAAACGTATTTCCAAATATGATTTAGTTATTGTCACCTTTGGATGTATTGTCCGGAGGTACATGTAAAAATTACTACTAAATATTAATTTTTGAAACTCTACATACATTATGAATAATACGTTAAAAATATTGATTGATTGTCACATTTTCAAATTAATATAACATAGTGTGTTGCAAGAGTACTTCCGGAAGTTTAATATAATTTTTCTTTGGCGCTTAACTAATTAATTACTGACAGGATGCACGTGCAAAAGTGACTATAGTCACCCAAAAGTGATTACAATACCGGGTCTTGTTCGCTCAGTTTCATCGCACTACGCAGGATGCTTTGATCTGCAGTGGATCTATGAAGGATGGAAGGATCTCGTCCTGAAACAACTCCCAGGGTCTGTGTTTTTAGCATGTGGTACTCTTAGTTTCAGTGAGAAGTTATGACGTATTTTTATCTGTTGATAAGTAAGATTGGTAGAGTTTTTATTAATTATGCACAGACTTCTGTTTCCGTGTATAATTATGTGTGTATTTGTGTGTCAGGCATATTAACAGTGTTGTTTATTCCTAATAATACGCATGATGATGGAATTATGTATTACGAAACCTCGGCAAACTGGAAAGATTAAGTGCTTTAACTGCTCTTTCACCAAAATTCATGATCTGAACTTCGAACATTTGAGTACACGATCGTGAATCTATTATGCATAAATGCTTTAAATGCTTATCATATTCTACACAGTTGTACATTAATACCAATCATTTTCTGCGAACATCTAAGTGCATTGCTTAGAATTTAAAATATTCAATGCATTTACGTTTCAATCGTTTGTTCTCCAAATATATTTATAGCAGTGTTTAGGGAAACATTTGTATAATACTGAACTTATCAACTATCAATCCACCAGTATGTAGCAACCATCCAGTATTTTTGTTTGTTTTGTTATCTCAAAATATTTCGCTTTTATGTTTGTTTCAGTTTTTACTATGATTATGCATGTCTTTTGAGTAATTTTCAATTTTAGTGATTTCGTAAATTCTTCTCTTAGGCTTGGGCTATATTAACTATCGCATTCGTAATTTGATCGGTGAATCCGTTTCCTTCACGAAATAATCGACATTATGCTTGCAGCAAGCTTGATGATATTCTGTCTGAAAACGGTCTGATGAGAGCACTTCCGCAGATTGAGTGAGACCCTACTCGTTAATTGAAGCAATTGCCTATCTGTCTCCACGCCATCAACTGAAACAGTTTTTGCTCATAATGTGGCCTTGACCACATTCTCTCTACGTAACATCTTTACGATAGAGATTCTGAGAACTGGCGCCGCCGCCGCCGCCGCAGTCTGCCTCGTTGTTGTGTAAGAACTATGAGTCATGACTAGCAATTATTTTCCTTACTGGGTTTCCCCTATCTCTATCTCGTGAGGAAAATTGCTAACATTTCACAGTTTTAAGAGAAAATAATTAAATTTTTTAATGACAAGTTAGACAATTTCGCGATATTATGACTCTGTAAGCAGTTCTTTGAAAAATGCTAAATTTGTTGGTAGATATTTATTAGGTAATGTTTAGTTCTTCATGAAGTTAAGTAGCTAAGTTCAAATACACGTCACTTTATTGTGATATTCGATAATGAGTACAAACTGGGCTCACGAGTGTTTCACATTGTACGACTGCAAATTCACGGAAGCGTATTTGGAAATTTTTGTATAGCGTCACTTTGTTTTCTCGCACTTATAAATATGGTAGAGATACTTTATACCGAAAAGGGAAATAGGAAAGTGTTAAAACTAAACATGACAGCTCTCGCTTGGCAATCCTATTTTTTGTACTTAAACACTTGGTGCCCTCATTTTGAAACAGTTATGAAAATTCATTGCTCTAAAAAAATGGATTTTAGAAGTACAAAATTATCTCGACGGGGAGTATCATCGACATTTTATTCACATTTTCTTGATAGTCATCTTACCAATACCTTAAAAGGAAGCTGTTATGGACTGGTTGTGAGGGCTGCGCAGTCCTTGTTTCGGGCGCTTTTTGTCCGTTCAGTCAAGGTCGCGACACTGAAATAACCTTTTTATTGCCCCTGACCTTCACTCTCCATCGCTCCGTTCGCAGAACGGGTTCCTTGCGTACCCGCGCTCCCACTCTAGCGATGAGATGTTACAGCGGTGTCTTCGACAACATTCTCGTCTCGGCGTTGCTTTGTTCTCAGGATGTGTGACTTCCTTGTACTTTCTCGCGCGTACTTCGTAAGAACAGAAAGTATTGTAATCGTGCGTCAGATAACGACTTTTTTTACAGAAAAATCTCATATTGAAGGTAACGAAAAAGTGGAGAAATCTTGTTCCCATAAGAAGTAGATTACTTCCTCTAACAGATTATGAAGTCAGAATCTATATTTTGTGGGCCTTTGATGTCTAAAAAATTATTGACGGAAAAGCGTCTGTCTGACCGTCCGTTTGAAATGAATATTTTAATTTTTGATGCTAATTTTCACGGAGCATCTATTACAGTTCGAAAATTTTCACAAAATTGACTCCAAATTTTTTATTAAACTTTGTCATCGGGTAGTGTAAAATACGATTAAGAGAATGAAGGTGGACTCATTTTCGTTAAAATCCCTGATTTTTCGAAAATTGCAAAAGTTACATTTTTTATCTTCTTTCTACAATGTTGAAGGTATGATTTTGTTTTTAATGAAATCTATCAATGAAAGACATCTTGAAATAAAGCCAAGTACATTTTTTCCAAACTATGAGTACTTTTCCCGCAATTGTGCTTAAAATTTGGGCAATTTTAAGTCTACTTCCTCAAAAATCTAATTTTTAAAAAAAACGAGAGCATATTTTTGCATGAAGTTAATATACATTATAAAAAAGCATTTTCTCAATAAACGGTCAAATTGTTTCCTTCCATTTTTGCAAAATTTTCAAAAATTGCAAAAGTTAGATAAATGCGATAAAGAATGTACTTTTGGAGCATCAGTAGTTATTATTTGTGACTACAGAAATCTGAAATTCATTCGTAAGTTAATGAATAGATAATATTGAAGAATCTTTAATATTTTACATCCAATATAATTTTTAACTAGTACTTTAATATAAAACAAGTCATGCTTTTCTTGGCAGAACTTTAAATTCTATGTCTTCGGTAGTTAATGTCATTGATACATAGTATCTTGTTCATAAGGAATTTTATTCTATTATAATGAATTACATCTTATAAAATATCTTGCTCCAAGGTTTTATTCAGGCTATATATTTTAATTATAAATTTTTTTTCTTCAAATAATTTCTGCTAGATGAGTCTAAATCTCGGAGGTGAATCAATTCAGTTAATGGTTAAAGGATGCCTGGCATATCGAACGCATCCGTTGGAAATCGCATTTCGTCTGCAGCTGCGGCGAAGAATCATTTGCAGAGGGGTCGCGTGAAAAGAATCCTTTTGGACCATTCGTAGATGACTGACTCATTTAGTTAATGCTAGATTATATACATTGCGACTCCGCCCGTGAAAGCAAACGTC